TTTCTACTCCCGTAAGGATTTACACCCTCAGAAACCCTGTACAGGGTCGCTATGGGTCGGACCCGACTCGATGGCACTTAACAACAACAACAACAGTATATAATATTTAGCCTGACAGTTCAAAAAAAGCATCGATTAAAAGGAGAATTTTACTGGGCAGCTCTTCAAATTGTTTAGGTTGAAAATGAAATCACAACAGTATGAGGAAAAAGGAAAACTGAATAAAATTTCAATTGAATTGAAAAGTAATCTAAGGTAGTCTATAGCTACCACATAGAAATAAACTAAAAATAACTGGGGAGAAATGAAACATTATTATATATGTATATACGTGTGGGGAGTCCTGGTGTGGCACTGTAGAATACACACTCAACTGCTAACCTCAGAAATCCTATACAGGGACACTATGACTCGGAACCAACTCAATGGCATTTAACAACAACAACATATATGTGAGTGTAACAACACCACCAACAAAACTATTATATGACTTTCTGTCAAAGCAACATAGATAAGATTAAAATGAATTTACCATATTCGAAAATGATATACTTCGTTGTAGCATTTTAGATTCTTTAGAAAACATCTTCAAGGTGGAATCTAATTTAATGAGAAAGCAAACATGTAAGACTTCCTAACCATCAAATATGACAAATGACAGCTTTCCTCCTTGTTCTAGGAGGCCGACAGATGGTGTAATCCTGGGAGAACTTGAGATAAACTAGCTGGATGATCTCAGACCTCATCCAACACCAACCCAGTCTAGACACAATATAATGCTGACACGTTAGCAGGACTGACTGCAGAGTTAGGCCTAATGTTTCATGTAAGCTAAAAGCTGCAGAGTAAAAGAGCAATCTAACATTAAGTCTGATCATCTAAAAAAGACCTGAAAGATCTTGGCAATTAAAATTTTTTTTTTTTAACAAATAGCACAATTATGGTGTAATACCATTGTACTTAATAAACACTGACAGAAAAGAACCACTAACTTTCTAAAGAATACAGGTTAAAAATCCAAACTTTTCATTTTTTTGCCTTTCAGAAACTGTAAATGTACCAGAACCACCTCATAACAGCTCAATTCACAAATCACAATGTTCTAATATGCTTCAAATGTTTCATATCTGATGTTTGTAAGAACAGATTTCCCAACTTGTAAATACATAACAAGATACAGAATGAGCCTTTAAAATAATATATTTGTATATGACTACTTAATATTTCAATCTAATTTTAGCAAAACCAACACATGGAAATCCTTGAAATTTATAACTATGAGCCTAAATCCATTCTCTGGCATTACCTTGAAAACAAGAGGAGATTGAACACAGGTTCCCCAGGGAACCAACCTTACTAATGATTCTTAAGGATGCCCTTTCCATTGGCAACTAGGAGTGTTAATTAGTCTGTGGTATTCTGATCATGGACAGGCGGCTGTGAGGCATACAGTATGTAACAACATGAAGTTTCTCAAGACCCAGTGCTCCCCGGTTCCCTCTGTTATTCCTGTCTTGTTGGTTCTGACTCATGGTGAGCTCCCATCTCAACAAAAGAACCAAACAGCGCCCAGTCCTGCGTCCTCTTCAGGACCCAAGGTATATTGGAGCCCAGTGTTGAGGCTACTGTGTCAGCCCATCTCACTGAGGGTCTTTGTTTCTGCAAAAGAAACCCTGGTAGCATAGTGGTTAAGTGCTTGCTGTCGGTGGTTCAAATGTATCAACTTCTCTGTTTGAGAAAGATGGCAGTCGGGTTCTGCAAAAATGACAACCTTGGAAAGCCCATGGGGGCAGTTCTTCTCAGACTCATTGATCTCTATTATGTGGAATCAACTTGACAGCAATGGGTTTAGTGTTTGCTGTCTTACTTCTATTAACTCTCTACCAACCATGATGCTATTTTTTAGCAACTGGTCTTTCCAAGTTAAGCAAGGCCAAGTCTCACTCATGAGAAGCATCTGGCTGTATGTACTTCTTCTAAGACACATTTGCTCATTCTTCTAGCAGTGCATTGTTGTTGTTAAGTGCTGTTGAGTTGGTTCTGACTCACAGTGACCCTGTATAGGAATTCCAAGGAGTGGCTGGTGAGTCTGAATTGCCAAGCCTGCGGTTCAAATCAACCTTGTGATCTAGCGTGTTATCCTGCAGTGCCACGCCAGGACTTCCTGGCAATGCATAGTCTGTTCAATATTTGGGGTCAACACCACAGTTCTACTGTATCAATTCACTTTCTGTTTCATATATATATATGAGGGGATTGAAAAGGTCATGGCTTGGCTTGGGTAACTATGTCCAACACTGTGGTAAGCTAATCAGATAGGGGTGGGTCCCCATTCAGACCTACATACTTACACATATACTGAATATCTGAGGAAAAAACTTAATTTTGGGGTGATAATCAGAATAGATATAAATAATTAATATAAGTTGCTAAAATTTAAAAGTAATCATCAAAAAACAAAAGCTTTGGAGCTTTGATTTTAATTTACAAAAAAAAAACCACTCTCCCTTTAATTTAGCAGCTACACAATGAACAGAATGCTTACTAAGTCTCAAGGTTTTGAAATTTCAATGCTTATAAAACTCATGATTTCCAGTGAACTAAAGGATTTAATAAACCATGTCAGACAAATCTAGCTAAGAATCTAAGCTTTGCAACATTTTTCTTGTGTTGTAATGTTGGCAAACTCTGAATGTTGAAATCCTGGGAAGGAAATGAATTGCTTACTTCCTATAAGCAACTTAATTTCAGTAATCCTGACTGGCCCACTAGTATATACAATGCATGTTAAGTTCTTTTGGGTTTACTATAGAATCATGCTTTGTGGAACATTGTATTTGATAAAATCTGAAGAAGAATTCAAAAGAACAAGGCAAGAAGTATTACAGATAACATACCATGACAATGCAATTTTAGAGTAGTAACTGATTTACCTGGTAGTAATTAGATGGGTAGCACCATTTCGTACCTTAATGAATAAAAAAATAAGATTTCCTATGATAGAAACTAAAGAGCAAGTAGCCTCATTAAAAACAGGCAGTTATTAAATTAATCAAAACTAGCCATCTTGCGTAGACAGGAGAGCTAAGATATTATCCTTTCATCCCCACACACTCAGGTGTCCAGCACAGTGTTTTGAGTGGGAGGGCAGGGCATGCTTAATAGTTACATATATGCAGGCTATCACAGAAAGTGATGGTGTGTACAGCATGAGATGCTTTTTGCTTCGCCTTTTATAAGATCAATACAGTAAAATTCTAATATATTCTTAAGATACAGTTACAAGTCACACCAATCCAGCATTGCAAGGACTTTTAGCAACTGTCACAATGGACAGGCACATTAACAATGTATGGATTAGCTCTTGAGCTAAACCCGCGAGTGCACATTTCTGAATATATGCTGAGTAACAACAGCATACTGACATTGCACTTGCTAAAAGGCACCAGGCTCCCTCTGCTGACAGGCACTCACAGGACGAGTGAGAGAAATGGGCTCTCTCTGTCTTGTAACTGATGTCTTAGGAAACCATGTCAGCAACTGTAAGGCATTTCACTTTTGCTTTTGGCAAACTACAAGGAAACGTTTTTAAGATTCCGTACATTAACTGTTCTAACTTTATGTTGTGAAGACAGCTCAGACAAGAAGACTCCTTATTCAGGAATTAGGAAATCCGGCTACTTGAGGATTCTGGGTAAATTTTCAGAAAGGAAAACCTACCTTGGGACGTGGTAAAGATTGAAGAGCCATTGTAAGAGACTGCTATTCCGGTCACTGCCCTGTTTAAAATCAGAGTTTTACAGATTACTGTCAATCGTGTATTATGACACATACCCTATTTATTCACTGATTTAATTTTGTATAATTTGTGTACTTTTTTCTTCACAGCTTGTCTATTAGATCTGTCCCAGCACACCTGACATTATCAACTCATCTCTTATGAACCTCTCATTTTGTTTTGGCAAAATCTTATGGCTAAAAGACATTTCCACTCTTAGTGTCCCTCGCTTCCACAGTCCATGTTTAACCTCTTGTTGACAATTGGAAAAATAACAGTGATTCACCTTCAATTCTACTTTATTTAGCCATGACCAAATTTACTGAAACTTTTCTTTGTAATAACTTCATTGCTTCTCTACTGAACCTAAGCTACCTGGTGTTAAGCAGTGTCACTTCAGAGTATGTGTTGGAATATGAGCCCTGGTAGCATCGTGGGTTATGAGCTGGGCTACTAATAGCAATGTGGTGGTGGTGGTTCTGACACATAGCGACCCTGCATACAGTTTCCAAGGTTGTAAATCTTTATGCAAGCAGAAAACCTCATCTTTCTCCTGCAGAATCACTAGTAGTTTCGAACTGCTGACGGAGAGTATCAGCCCAACTTGTAACCACTAAACTTCCAGAGCTCCTAACAGCAAGGTAAGCAGTTCAAATACACCAGTCGTTCCAAAGGAAAAAGATGAGCCTTTCTACTCCCATAAAGGCTTGTTGTTGTTAAGTGTCATCAAGTCGGTTCCAACTCATAGTAGCCTATATAGGGTTTCCAAGGAGCGACTGGTGGGTTTGAACCACCAACATTGCAGTCCAGTGCTTCACCTACAGTGCCACACCAGGACACCCCCAGAAACCCTATATAAGGCTGCTATGATAGCATAGTGGTTACGAGTCGGGCTGCTAACCTCAAGGTCAGCAATTAGAAACTACCAATTGTTCCATGGCACACCACCACCACCCAACATATTTGTGGATTTAATCCCATTTGGGAATAGTTTTCTTTGATATTAATGAGGCCATATCAGGGTAAGGTGTGTCTTAATCACCTTTCAGGTATAAAAAAGGTAGATATGAATAATAGAAAGGAAGCACAGAAGAGGGTAAAGAGTTGGTCACCAACATGAAGCTAGGAGGACACTGAGGAACAAAATCTGACTTCCCCCAGGGCAGACAGAGAGAAAGGCTTCCCCTAAAGCTGGTACCCTCCATTCTGCTGTTGAGTTGGTTCCAACGCACAGCAACCCTGTATAGCATTTCCAAGGAGCAGCTGGTGGGTTTGAATCTCTGACCTTGTATATTAGCCTCCTAAACAACAATCAAGAAATCAAACAACATATTGTTGTCGTTGTTGTTAAGTGCTGTTGAGTCACATCGACCCTGAACAGGGTTTCCGAGGCTGTAAATCTTTACGGGAGCAGAAATCCTCATCTTTCTCCCACAGAGCAGCTGGTAGTTTCTAACTACTGACCTTGTGGTTCACAGCCTGATTTGCAACCACTAAGCGCTTACATGGGGCAAATTTGCTACAAAATAGCTCTATAATGTTACAGAGCAAAGAAATCACTTTGATGGCAAAAGTGGGCCTCACCCAAGCCATGGAATTTTCAATGCCCTCAAATGTATGTGAATGTTGGACAATGAATAAGGAAGACGGTAGAGGAATAAAAACATTTGAATGATGGGGCTGGTGAAGAATAGTCAAAAGTACCATGGACTGCCAGAACACAACAAATCTGTCTTGGAAAAAGTACACATCCTTAGAAGTGGGGATGACAAGATTTCATCTTTTGTGCTTTGGACATGTGGTCAGGAAGCACCGGTCCCTAGAGAAAGACATCATGCTTGGTAGAGTAGAGGATCAGTGAAACCGAGGAAGGCTCCCAATAAGATGGATTGACACAGTGGCAGGAGCAATGGGATCAAACAGAACGACAACTGTGAGGATGGCACAAGAACAGGCAGTGTTTCATTTTGTTGTGCGTAAGGTTACTATGAGTCAGAACCAACTTGATGGTACCTAATGATACGAAGCCTCCTAAACAGAAAATAAATTTCTATCTTTGAAAGCTACCTATCTGTGTACTTCTGTCACAGCAGCACCAGATAACTAAGACATTAAGCATCTGTTCAGTGATGATACAGTGCCTGGTTCCATTTATTTCTTCACTGCCTTGGAAGGGAGGGTCCCTTTTGACTAGCCAATTAAAGGAGTTTAGAAAAGAAAAACCATTGCTATAACGAAGAAAATGGGACTACCATGTGCAGCTACTGGTCTCTCCCTCTGCAGAGGGAAGAAGAATGATGAAAGCTGAAGATGCTTAGAATCAGTTAGTCCAACAGACAAACGGACCATGTGAACATCAGTCTCCATGACCCTGAGACCAGAACTAGACGGTGCCTGGATACCGCTACCCACTGTTCTAAAGGGATCATATTAGATGGTCCTGGATAGAGTGGGAGAAAATGGACCAAAACTCAAAATTATAAAACAAAGACCGGGCTGACTGGTCCTAAAGAGACTGGAGGAACCCGAGACTAAGGTCCTTGGTCACCCCTCAGTTCTGGAAGAGAAATAACCCTTGTGGCTCAATCATTAGTCAAGCAGTAGATACGTATATAGGGAAGGTAAAAACAATAGTTGGGTATGCTCACCATGGAATGGTCAACTATTCAAGAGTGAAAGGGCAACATTTACCTAAGGACAAAGTCACTCAATTCATCATAAAAGATTAAAAGAAGAAGGGACTACCTATTTCTCTTTTTTTTTGGCTTTTTTGGTTACTGTACTTTGATTTGGAAGCACCTATCTAAGTGAGACGTACATATCCAGCATGTCCAAAATGTTCACGTTATCATAAGTTGCCAGCCATGCTCTTTAGCTCCCCACAGTATTGAAACAGACCAGTCACAGGTCTGAAGCAAGCTACCCCTCGACTCAGTTCAAAAAATATCTAACTCCAAGTTAAGACCCCGAATTCCACAAGAACTATCAGTTCCAAGAAGAGGCCCAGGGATGTTCTTACTCTTTGTGGATCTTATACTGCTCGTGTAACTGTAGCTTGGTGATGTTTGTCCAGGCAAGGATTTTGCTTTCTTCAGTCAGGTCTTCAAAGGACTCTTCACCTGCAGACACTGAATTAAATGATTGCTAACTTAATAACAGACAGCTAACTTAGTAAAAGACACAATACTTTCCATTAAAATCAAGCAACCAAGAAAATAAAGCACCCACCAAACAGCACTGCTTTAACAGGTACTTGTTAAGAGAGTCTCAGGTTAGTTAAAGAAAAACACTAAAGCATATAATCTAAATAAAATAACAGACAGAGGAGAAAGCTAAGAAAGTATATTTGAATTCTATTGTCTTTTTATATTTTTATGAATGTTTGAATGGAGTCCTGGTGTGGCGCTGAGGGTTAATGTACTGGACTGCAAGGTTGATTTTAATTGAAAGGTTGGCGGTTCAAGCTCACCAGCCACTCCCAGAAACCTATACAGGGTTATTATTAATCAAAACGGACTCAACAGCACTTAACAACATCCAGTATTTGAAAAGTTTCCACCTGGCCTCTAACTTACGAACTGGAGGCAATGTAAGACCAACTAATAATTTCCTGGCCAGCAATTCTTGCAAAGATTTAGCAGTTCCCTAAAAACACTGAAAATCTGTTTTGGTTTTGAGGCGGAAGAAAGCAGAAATGAAATCAATTACTTCCAGTGCCCTCCTGGACTTTTCTGTGAAGATTACAGCTCCAGGGTTAAGTTTCATGAAGAGCTGGGACAAATGCCCTTCAAAAAATTCACATAACATTGGTGATGGGATGGGAACCAGGAAACACAGGTTTCAATGGCATCACATGGAAACCCCAATGTCTTTGTTACTTAACTTTCTGGGGTACCAATCTCCTAAAGAATATCATAAATGAAGAGAGCAAAAAGTCATTAAGAAGAGAAGAAAGAAGGAAAAGATCAAGATGGATGTCAGAAGAGACTCTGAAACTTGCTCTCCAGCGTAGGGGGGCCAAAGCAAATG